CCCCTTTCTTTTCAGGCGGAGCTCGGGGCGCGTGTTCTTAGCGCTAGAGGAGCAAGAAAAAGTGGAGGTACGACGTGACCCCGGATGCTGCTGCTGCAGTGTAGACGGAGGGGGGTCGGGGGGTGGGGATGGGGGGGCGGGGTGTAGACGGGGTGCTTGTGAAGCAGAGGGCTGCGCCTCTTTATTCCAGGAAACAGGCGAAAGTGTTACTTCGGAGCTGCATTGCCGGCCTCAGGCGACTCTTGATGGTCTGGACCAGCGGTTCTCAACCTTCCTAAGGCCGCGACCCTTTCATACAGTTCCTCCTGTGGTGGTGACCCCCAACCATAACATTATGTTCGTTGCTACTTCATAACTGTCATGTGGCTACTGTTATGAATCGTCATGTAAATATCTGATATGCAGGATGGTCTTAGGCGACCCTTGTGAAAAGGTCGTTTGACCGCCAAAGGGGTCGCGACCCACAGGTTGAGAGCCGCTGCTCTAGAGCAAAGTCACCGGAGCCTGAGGGTTGCTGATGTCACTGAGTGGAGACGACCACCCTAGCAAGGCCCTTCCACCTCACTCTTTTTAAAAATCTTTACTGTTGAAAGTACTCATATGTCCCCCTTTCCCCATGGACCCCCTCCAGCCCGCCCCCGCCCTGTGTCTGTGTCTGTGGGTGATGCACATGTGCACACAAGGTCTTTGGTTGATCCCCCGCCCCCCGAGATTCCACCGAACTCTGTGCCATGCTTCCATGTCTCTGGTTCTATTTTATTCATCAGTTTATTTTGTTCATTAGATTCCACACATAAGTGAGATCATGTGATCCTTGTCTTTCTCTGACCGGCTTATTTCACTTAGCACAATCCTCTCCAGGCCCCTCCGTGCTGTCTCAGAGGGTAGGAGGTCCTTCTTCACTGCTGCGTAGTATCCCATGGTGTAGATGTACCACAGCTTTTTACCCGCTCACCTGCTGGTGGGTACGTGGGCTGTGTCCAGATCTTAGCCATTGTAACTTGTGCTGCTGTGAGCACAGGGGTGCACACATTCTTCCTGAGTGGTGCTTCCGGTTTCTTGGGACATATTCCTGGAAGTGGGATCCCTGGGTCAGATGGACGTTCCATATTTAATTGTTTGAGGAAACTCCATACTGTCTTCCACAGTGGCTGCACCTGTCTGCATTCACACCAGCAGTGCACGAGGGCTCCCTTTTCTCTGCATCCTCGCCAGCACTTGTCATTTGTTGATTTGTTGGTGGTAGCCATTCTGACAGGTGTGAGATGGTACCGCATTGTGGTTTTAATTTGCATCTCTTCTGAGCATCAGTGACTTTGAGCGTGTTTTTCATGTCTCTTGGCCACCTGTGTGTCCTGGAGAGTGTCCGTTCAGGTCCTCCTGTCCATGTTTTGATTGGATGTTTGCCTTCCTTTTGTTGAGTTGTGTGAGTCCTTAAGTATTTTGGAGATGAACCCTTATCTGACGTATCGTTGCCACATCTGTTTCCCGTGCAGCTTCCACCTGACTCCTGACCGACACCTTGTGTCTCTGGGGGAACACAGGGGCGTCAGGTCCTCTCGGTGTGTCCTCCCCGAGACAGGGCTCCCCTGTGCCCACGCACCTGTGCCTGCCTCCTCCCGCCAGTGGGGAGGCTCTGCCGGCAGCACAGCGGCCTGCCCTGGGCTTGCCTCGCGGCCGTCTCCGCTCGCCCTGCTGCTGGCTCGCCTCTGGAGCAGGACCCGCTCTACTTGCCCTCTGACAAGTTTTGAATGAATGTGTGTCTTACACTTGTTCTCATGCTCCAGGTCCCCTGTAGCCCATGGGCACCTGGAAGTCCATCCCTCCTGCACCGAGGCCCTGTCTTTGCTGCGGTCAAGAAGAGTCCTAATTCAGTTTTTCTTGGCTCTGACCTATCAGTGACTCTGTGGCACTGGACGTTAATTCCTGTTTCCTTCCTGAAACTCTTTGACTTTGGGAATGTTTCTGCTCTGTTTTCTCTTGATCACTCCTTGGGTCCTCGGCGTTCACTCATGGAACCTCGGGGCGGCGTCCCAGAGCTGTCATCTGTGCCTCTGCCTGAACCCTGACCACACCAGCAGCTGTGGCCCGGCTCTCCCACCCGTGTCGCCTCCTGAGCTTCAGACCTGTGTGTCCACTGCCCGCTCGCCGGGTCTTACTTGCAAGGCTGTTCCTCAGCCAGAAATCGGCGAGGCCCTGCTCTTCCTCCCACCCGGGCCGCCTGGCTCTCTCAGTTCTGTGCGGAGGCTGAGGAGGGCTCGGCCGCCCGCTCGGCTTAGTTAGTTCCTCTCCAGGCTGCTTTGCCCTCCCTGCTCCTCTGCTGTCCCTCGTCTTCCTGAAGCCCTTTCTCCTCATTGCTCCCAGTGGCTGTTCGTAGGACATGTTCGATCTTACGCTTCCATTTCTGTAAATATTTCAGTTGATCTTAAAATCTCCTACACTAGCCTACTTGAGTGCCTTTGTGATCTTCACCCTCCTCGAGTTTTTGAGTATTCTTAAAACTTGATTGAGGTATAGCCCTGGCTGGTTTGGCTCAGTGGATAGATCGTCGGCCTATGGACTGAAGAGTCCCAGGTTCAGTTCTGGTCAGGGCACATGCCTGGATTGCGGGCTCCATCCTCAGTAGGGCTTGTGCAAGAGGCAGCCGATCGATGATTCTCTCTTATCGTTGATGTTTCTATCTCTCCCTCTCCCTTTCTCTCTGGAAAAAAAAAATGATAATGACCATACCCATGACTTTCAGAAGTTTGCTCCAGCACCCTGGCCAGCTGGCTAGTTAGTTGGAGTGTAGTCCCCACACCGGAAAGCTGCCGGTTCAGCTCCCAGTCAGGGTGTGTACCGGATGCAGCTTTCCGATGTTTCCCTCTCACATTGATATTTCTCTTCTTTCTCTCTCCCTCTCTAAAGTCAGTAAAAACGTGCTTGGTGAGGGTTAAAGATAAAAAGGCTTCTCAAGCCTCTGCACACCCCTTTGGGGTCCCCACCGCACCTCCAGCCTGGGCCACCAGGGCTCTGACAGCGAGGCCATGGGACGCGCCCAGCACAGACTCTCCTTGCTTTGTGTCTGGGTCTGGCTGCGTTCACTCGGCATAAAGACTTGTTCACGGGGCCGCTGGTTTCCCTATCGTGTTAGGCTGTATGGGCGTCTGCTCAGTCACTCACCTGTCAGTGACGGTGGGTTGTTTCCAGCTTTCAGCTCATAACCAAGCTGCGGGGACGCGTGTGCGTGCGTGTTGCTGGGATCGGCCCTTTCCTTGCTCTTGAGGAGATCCCTCGGCGGGGTCACATGGAGGCCTCTTCACTTTGTAAAACGTGCTTCCCTAGAGGGTCGCACCGTATGCCTGTAACTGCTCTGCGTGCATTAGCTCTGATGTGCTAGAAGTGGTTTTTTTTATTTACTCAAACGTCTAATGATAAAAATCAGTTGGCCTACGCACTACAGAAAGTCATGTGACCTACAGGTGGACTGCAAATGGCAAGTGTGTCGTAAATGGTTGATGGCTAAGATGACAGTATCAAAATTCATACAGTTGAAATAATAGTTGTTTTTATAAGTGTTATTTCACATGAGTATTTGAAGATCTGGCTTCTAAAGTACTTGAGTCAGCAATTAGTAAAACTTTAAAAATGACTATACGTCTTCATGTATGGCTTTGTTTTATTAACTTTAAGATATTACTCAGTAGCACAAAGCAGTTCTTTTAGTGACCAATAGTCATGGAATGGGATTAACCATAATTGTATGGGTGACAATATTTTACTTACATCTTTGCCAAAAAGTTATACTTTAATCCACATTTTGTAGTTGTCATCATAAACACATGACACTTACAGTATTTTATTTTTTTAACAGAACAAAACTCCTTTAGTCAACGAGAGCCTGAAAAAGTTTTTAAATACGAAAGATGGTAAGAGGTTCAGCTCTTCTTGTTTATTTTGTCTGTAAATTTTCAAATCGTGACTCTATTTGGGAGAAATCAGGGATTTCAGATCACTTTTTGGTGTCTGTGATCCTTATAGGTCCTTATTTCTTAAAAGGAGGTTTTATTGGACTGCTGTTAGTTGCTTTACTTACCGTTGGTCCGGGGATAAAACCAGCTTTACTGTAAGAGGCAGAGCTGTCCCGTGAAGTGTCACAGTGTCTCCCTGATGGTTGCTGCCAGACCTAGGGTCCCAGTGAGGCCCTGGGGAGACCGGTTTCCGTCACTTAATTGTACGCGGCAAAGACGAACCCTTGCCTTGCTTAAACAACGTAGAAACTTCGCTCCCATTAGTGCGCCTGTCCTGTCTCAATGTCAGGAGGCTCAGGCGTGAAGGCTCACTCACCGCCTCTCTTGCCCGCAGGCCGGCTGGTGGCCAGTCTGGTGGCAGAGTTTCTCCAGTTCTTTCATCTGGACTTCACCTTGGCCGTTTTCCAGCCTGAAGCTAGCACAGTAAGGATGGTTTTCACCTCACCTTTGAAGCCTTTGGCACGATGAGCTCATGAACAGCTGAAAGTTAACACTTGACAGCTGTCGTGTCTTGCATGAAGATGTTGTTGTGGCTCCTGGTTTTCTTAAGCGCCATCCGTCATCGAGCTGGCGGTGGGTCCTAGGGCCCCTGCTGTACTTCACTGGGAGGGAGTGTTGTGGTAAAGTCGACTTTCTCTGTTAGACTGTAGCTGTTAATGTGGAGACTGGTGAACGAAATAAAAAAAGTAAATATCCTGACTCTTGCATTTTCCATATGCAGAATTCCAAATAGAAACTTGCTCATGTTGTGGCATTGTATTTTATGTGTTTATGTCACACATGTGAGCAACTGTGCTTCCTGTGAAAAAAAGTATCATTAAACGGTGTGGGTGTCTGAGGCCTCTGTTCTGTTCAGTGAGTGCATATTTGGGAGTGAGCTCAGTGGGGGGAATGGGGCTCCATGGCCACCTTCGACCCCCCCCCCCAAATATATATGTAATTTTTAGAAATGGACATTTCATTCATTAGAAAAACAGTCCAGAGAAAGATATCTAAGTTCTGAAAATATTTTTCTTTAAGCTCTGAGTAAATAATCTTGTTATATATCTGTGCACTTACAGCTTACTTTTACATCTTATTTCTTCCTAGTTTCAAGGTCTGGAAGGTCGAGAGAATTTAGCCCGGGACTTGGGTATCATTGAAGCGGAAGGCACTGTGGGCGGACCCTTGCTGTTGGAAGTGATCAGGCGCTGTCAGCAGAAGGAGAGAGGGCCCGCCCGTGGAGAAGTAAGTGCAGCCTGTGCTTTGTTACCTCCTGGTTGGTCACTGTGCCCCCTGCAGCCCCGCCTTCCGTGTAAGTAAGAGACTTTTCCTTGGAAACAAAGTGACACACTCAGATCGGTTAAGTGCGCGTTACAACGAAAACTGGAAGTGTGGGTGCTCTGAGGCCGCCACCCCTGTTCTGTGGATAGATCCTGCTCCCCGCTGGCTAGTGTCACCTCCCGCTGACTAGTGCTAACCCCCCACTAACTAGTGCTCACCTCCCGCTGACTGGTGCTAACCATCCTTTCTGTCTAGTGCTCACCTCCCGCTGACTGGTGCTAACCCCCCACTAACTAGTGCTCACCTCCCACTGACTGGTGCTAACCCCCCACTAACTAGTGCTCACCTCCCACTGACTAGTGGTAACTATCCTTTCTGACTAGTGCTCACCTCCCACTGACTGGTGCTAACCTCCCACTAACTAGTGCTCACCTCCCCGTTCCTCCGGGAAAGGGGTCTGAGCTCGGGGTGGGCATCCTGGAGCTCCCGCACAGGGCACTGCACAAGAAATGGCGAGAACACTCCAAGCATTAGTCTTAGTGTTTTTCAAACATAAAGGCCGAGTTACAGACTAGTTAATTTTTGAACTGAAAGGCTTTTTAAAACTAGATCTAAAACTGTTTGAGCTATTGATTTTGCTTATTTCTAGACATTTTCTAATTTCTGTGTGTTTGATTAGCCATTACCTTTCTTACTCTTACCCTTCCCTTTTAGAAATACTGCTAATGAGGTTAACGGTTTGATTCCTGTTTACGGAAGGTACTGTCACAGACTAGACAGCATCTTCACCGTCCCAGGGAGCTGGTTAAGTGGGTGCTTCTGGCCGCAGGGGATGTGAGAGTGGAGGCTGCGGCCGTTTCTCCGTCTGGACAGCCTCAGAGTTTCTATTAGAGCCTCTGAGAACCGCTCAGGCTGAGTGCTCATTGCACGATAAATAGATTCTTTTCACTAAAAGGGAAAATGTAAGAAAATTATGTGTAGTAGAAGGGTTGAGAGCTGTTCAAGATCAGATGCTTTCGTAAGAAAATGCACATTTAAATGTTTTGTGATTACAAAGGAAGTATACAATAATTGATTAGTTCCAAACATTCTGAGTAATAATTTTTAGTCAAAGGGGGCAGTGTGTTTCATGTTGAAATTTTGTTCAACTCAACCTTAACGTGAAAGCCGGGCGGGGGATGGGCAGGTGTGGAGGGAGGAGGGCGCCCGCAGCAGAACTGCCTCTGGGCAGGCGCAGGGGCCTGGCCGGAGCACAGGCTGTCCCCATGGGCTGTCCCTGCATGCGGGCCTGTGATCTCATTCATTCATAATCGTTCGACAAGGTTGGTGAGCGCTTATTACAGGATGGGCACTGCTAGCTGCTAGTGAACAAAAGAGACACACGTTTAAGGCTCCCGCTCTCCTGAGCCACAGTCTGCAAGTGCTGGTGACAGCTCTTGGCTTCTGTGGCCTGACCTCTGTCTTGTCTGTACCACCCTCCCCTCCCCTCCCCTCCCTTCCCATCCCTTCCCCTCCCCCCGGGGTGCACCTCATGCACGCATGGTGGTTGCCCATGTTTCTCCCAGGTCTGCTCTCCCTTCTGTACTCACACGGGGAATAGCCCAGACTCTGGAGCCAAACTGCTTAGGCCAGGGGTCCTCAAACTTTTTAAACGGGGCCAGTTCACTGTCCCTCAGACCGTTGGAGGGCTGGACTATAGTTTAAAAAAAAAAACTATGAACAAATTCCTATGCACACTGCACATATCTTATTTTGAAGTAAAAAACAAAACGGGAACAAATACAGTATTTGTATTTGCATGTGGCCTGCTGGCCGTAGTTTGAGGACCCCTGGCTTAGGCTCACACCCAGCTCGGCCACGCCCTGTGGGGGGCCCTCCTCAGCCACGTGCCTTAGGCTCCTCCCGGGAAGTGGAGGTGGCAGAGGCAGCCCGGGTGGGGTTATGGTGAGGACTGAAGGCATCAGTGTGTGAAACTCGGGGAACAGTGCTGGGCGTTGGCGACCGGACAGCTGCTGGCCGACATTATCGTTCCCTTCTCTGATTCTGTGGCCATTACTGTTGGGATGGCTCCCTAAGGCCCGCTCCGTCCTTTCCCCGGACCCACCCACCTGCTTACTCCACTAGAAGGCTGGACTCCTGGGGGAAAGTGTGACTCCATCCTCCTCCTCACCAAGTGAGAGCCACACGGGACAGAAGTCCCGGTTCTGGTCCTTCTGCCACACTCTCTGCTGGTGCTGGTTTTGTCCCTCCGACGCCTTGCTTCAGCCCAGGGCTGCCTGCTGTGTGCCCGCTGGTTTAGAAGGCGTGGGGAGGAAGGGAGGGCTGCCCTTGAAGAGGGCGGCGCCCACGAGGGAGAGGCTGTGCGAGAAGGTTTCTTGAGACAAATGAAGCGGTAGCCAGTCCAGGGGGCAGAGCAGGTGTCTGTGGAGTCGGGCAGGACCAGGGGGGTCAGGCAGGGAGGGGGCCTCATAAAGCACAGGCTGATTGAGGAAATGCTTGGCAGCTAATCAGAATCTAAGTGTGTTTCGTTTTTTAAAATTAAAATTGGGAAAATCTAATGATATTTATGTTAATTAGGAAGAAATCAACATGCCAACACGTGGAGTAGTTTTAAATGCTGAAGTTCTACGACGGGTCCTCAAACTACCCGCCGGGTGTTTTTGCCGCCGCTGTGTGCATAGGGATTTGTTCATAGTGTTTTTTTAAACTATAGTCCGGCCCTCCAACGGTCTGAGGGACAGTGAACTGGCCCCCTGTTTAAAAAATTTGAGGACCCCTGTTCTATGAGGTGTAATTAGTATATTGATGCCTTATGTGTAAATGTTTTAATTTTCACGGAATGTTTTAGGGTGCACTGGATCTGGCCGATGCGCATTCTCCACCACCGTCACCAGAAGGAAAGCTGAGCCCGCACACGGGCCCCAGTAAGGTGAGTCGGCGGCTCGGACGGTCTGGCCCGGCACGCCAGCTCGGCTTCCTCCGTCTTACGCGGCACACTCCTGTTCAGTTTCTGCCACTGCTTGCTTCCTTTTGATGAAGTATAGAATTTTAAGCATTAATTATTTTGCTTTAGTTGGTAGTTTTTTAAATTTTGTGTAGTAGAAAGGAATATGCTGTTAAATAAAAGTGTAGAATATTGGACTCATTTGGTACTTTGAACGTTACTTCTCATTTATAAGTTCCTAACTGGAGCAGGTTAGGCTCGAGTGTAGAGCGCTGTGTTAATAGTGTGGCCGGGTGACAGTCTGTTTATGGTAATGAGCCGTTCTGAGGATTCGTCAGGTCTGTGCGCTGGGGCCATGTTGGTGTGTGGTTTCGGAGTGGCTGAAGTTAGGCCCTGATTCAGGGGTTTGGTGTCACAGAAAGTGAACTGGGTGGACACTCGTTCGCAGTCCGGGTGTTTGTGCTGGTGGCAAGTGTGTCTGGGACGCGCTGGAGCAGAGCGCCCGCTGGAAGAACCTGACCCACCAGAGGGTGGGTTTGCGCCGAGTGTGTGGGGACCGGCCTCGGGCCCCTCCCAGGAGCAGGCCAGAGTGTTCCCGGGCAGCCGGGCTGGGAGAGGGGTGACAGGCTGCCGAGCTGCCGGACGGCTGCTTGTTGGGGGCCGAGACATGGGCTCTGGGGGGGCTGCTGCTGCTCTCGGCTGTGGTTGGTCCTTCCTGTCGTCTGAATGTAGAAATGGGAGGGATTGGGCGCGGGTTTCCAGCCAGCAGAGGCCATTGTGCTGGGGCCTGTTCTGCTCTGAGGGAGGGGCCTTCGAAGCTTTCCCTTGAGCTCAGGGCAAGTTCAAGAAGAACCTCGGAGCGGAGCTACCAGGGAGAAAAGCCGCCTTCGAAAGCTCTGCTTCCTGTGAGAACACCTGGCTTTCGGGGTTAACATGGACACAGTCCCACATCCTGACTAGTTAGTACCCAGCGCCTTGAGCTGTTTCGCAGTTCCCTTTTGTAAGTGATTGCTTTTAAAGCAAATTAGCAGGACTAACCTTTCACATCAGGTCTGTCTTCAAGATAAAGTACTCATGTCTGTTCTGCCTGTTCTTATTCTCTTTATAGAAATTGCTTTAGGGGTTAGGAATTATGTGAGAATCGGACACTTTAAGTCAGCGAGGAAGTGTTGCTCTAAGCCAGCGATGTTCCCCCTGTGAGCCGCAAGCACGGTTCCGCATGCAGTGTGGGCACCGACCTCTTGCCCGCAGACTCAAATCTGAATGACAGCAGCCGACGCAGCATGGCCGTCCCGTGTGAACGAGTCTGAATGACCCAGCGTTTGGGGTCAGATTGGCAGAGTTTTAGTGATTCGTCCGTGTGGGCCATGAGGAGGAAGGTTGGAAATCGCTGCTCTATACAGTCCCAGAGGAGTGATGGGGTTTCTGAGGTTGATCAGAGAACAGACCTGTGGGGCCCTCACTCCTCCACCTTCTGACTGTTTCCCGTGGAGCCTCTGGCCTCAGTCACCCCACAGGGAAACGCCGCAGCTCGTCTCTGCGGGGCCTGGGCTCAGGTGACTCCCGTGGTCCTCGCGGGTCTGGGTCTGGATGCCAATACTTAGGTCACCCTTTCCTCGCCCTGAGCCATCAGGGGCTCTGGAAGGGCCTCTGCCTGCTGTCGCCCTACTCTGAGAGCCGACTGCTGTCGCCCGACTCTGGGACGGGGTGGCCCAGGGCAGGGTCCTGCCAGCCCTGGGGCCTGCTTTGTGCTCCTGAGCAGGGGGGCGGGGCCAGCGGCCTGAAAGGAAGCTGCTCAGGAGTTCAAGCCTGGCTTCTCCGCGCTGCTCCGTGCGCACGAAAGAGGGCCTGTCTCGCGGAGGGAGGCCTGTTCACGCGGAGAGCGGCCTGTCCTCGCGGAGAGCGGGCTTGACCAGTAACTGTTGGGCAGGGTGTTTAAACATGAGTTGAACCCCTTGAGTAAGAAAAGACTTAAAGAATTGGGCTTCCTAAAGGAACATATTATCTCCATTTTAAGGAAATTTTCTAATAGGAATCCTTTTTCGTTTGTTTATGAATTAGTTTATTTTGAAAGATTTACACTTTGTGGTAAAACGTCATTTTTATTCTCATGCTCAGATACCAAGGTATAAAGGACAAGGTAAGAAGAAGACAAGCGGGCAGAAGTCTGGTGCCAAGGTAACATGCATGAGGGCAGAGGGACAGCAGCCTCGTGGGCCCTCGGGCCTGCAGCCCCATCGCGCGGGGTCACCTTCTTTTGAAACGTCACCCTCTTTTATCTGCAGTCAGACGTGATAAAGTCGCGGTGGCATAAAACAAGAAGTCGTTGACTTTCAGTTTTATCCAGGTGAAAGTCATATGTTGTGTTTTTAAACTGTGCTGTCAGTTTTATTTTGAGGATTTTTTGTTTTTTTGGCAACAAAAAAAGTTGAAAATACTTATTTTTTGAATGGATGGTCATGTACATATTCTTTACATGACTTTTATCTGAGGTCTGTAGAACATTGCACTACTTTTTGATACATTCCTATCGGTAAATTAAAGGCGAAACTTAGTTCCTTCAGGATGTTTGGTGTGCACAGCTGTGACCCCGCGCGTGTGGCTCAGCCTCAGAGCCCCGAGAGGAGGGCGGAGCCCCAGCGCTCAGTGCCTGCTGCTGGCACTGCGTCCTCCCCAAAGATCACAAAAATGGCCCAAGCCCGTATACTGGCCCCTTTTAAATGTTAAATATTAGAGGTCCGAGAAGCAGTGTCAGTCAGTCAGTTCTTACGCGTGTGAGAATCAGCTGTCCCCTCTAACGCTGCCGCATGTGGGGCTCAGAGTCCAGGGGAGCTTGGTCGAAGGAGAGATTCCCGAGGACTCGCTGTGCCGGCTGCCTTAGTCCTGCTGGCTCAGGGGCGAATTCCTGCCATTTGTTCACACGATTTTTATGCCTTTCCATGTGAGATGTTTCAAAATGTTATTCACACGTATGTCTGACCATTTACATAGAGAAACTCGTGTGTTAGGTGCTCTGCGCGAGACAATGACTGTGGTCCTCACTTAGTCGATAGCTCACAGGGGAGTCGGAGAGGTGAGACGTGCCTTAAGATCGTTAAGAACACAAACCGGCACGTTTTCATGGATGCCTTTAGTCAGTGTCTCGGACTGAAGAGCATGTCATGGAACCACACTTGCAGAACCTGGTTGGTGTCGTGGGTTTGAAGAAGTGGGTCCATGGGAACAGCACATGGAGGGAGACACATTGCACTCTGGGTCGTGGAGCAGCGTGGGGCCGAGGGGACTGAAGAGCTGTGCGCCCGGCCCCGTAGCCCTGAGCCCCAGATGCTGCCTCCGTCGCTTTGAACCCTGCTTCCCTCTGCGTCCCTGGCCTTGTGTGGAGTCGCTTTAGAAGGCTGGGACCCAGCACCGTTTCCAGCGCGTAGATGTCCTCCGACCGCCATCCCTCTGCTTTCCGCTCTGCCTGTGCATGCAGGAGGTCCCCCCCTTAACCCCCTCCATCCTAACCTCTCACTAGCCCCACACCAAGCTGCATGCGTGTGTCATGGCGGATGGACACAGCCGGCCGCCAGGGGGCGCCGTTCACACGCAGCCGGGCAGCACTTCCCACGGGCAAAGCCCAGAGAGTCGCCCTGCTGGTCCATGACCAGCTTGTGCAGGACCCCGAGTGGAGCAGCCAGAGAGCCCAGGGCACCCGGGCGCCCAGCCAGGCCTGCGGGGGTGCCTGGTGGCTGCTGTTGTGAGAAGGCCCGAGGTCCTATTACAGATGGACTTGTAAAAAGTCCTTCACCTGTATACGTATAAAACTGATGGGCACTTACTAGTGTGAGCTGTCAGAATGCAGAGCAAAACCTAAGGTTTTGACCTGATTGAACTTGGGTCAGATGAAAGTTGTATTTCTGGGTTTTGTGATTGCGGGTCAGTGAGGGGTGGGCAGATGGTGAGTGGGAGGGCGTTCTTTAACGCGTTCACATTCTGCAGTTGATGCTGGTACTGACCCCCGCGTGTTCCCTGTTCACTGTGAACCGCTCTGTCGCCTGAAGGGACTGTCAGATCACAGCAGCCTTTGTAGCTCTACTCACTTGGGTTTTTACCACTCATTTGGGAAAACTGAATATTAGATGGTTTTGTTTTTAATACTTAGAATAAAATTTTTTTTATCTTCACATACAATATAATATAAAAGATCAGCCTTTTTATAATCAGTTTTCAAGTGTTTTTAAACTTGTGTATCGAGGTATTTTTTGCTTCAAGTTCTTTTAAAAAGGACCATTTCTTAAATCGTTGCTCCTTTTTTAAAAAAAAAATTCTGGCATAAGCCCAGCATCACGTTGATTTAGGGCCATGATGTGTGTGTGTGTGTGTGTGTGTGTTTGGGGTGGGGGATGTTTCTGTGTCTATTACAGACACCTCGGTTTTCTAGATAAACCAAGCATTATCGTTCCCTTCACACACACACATCCGTTCTGAATGCAGGAGCACACATAGTGGGCAGTGTGCCCAGCACTCAGCCTGGCCAGCTGTCCACTCCTGGCTGCTTCAGACCCGAGCCCTGACATCTGGGCACTACTGTCCTCTGGACCCCGAGCAGCTGGCTGTTCAGGGCTGAGTGTGGAGCCGCTGTGCGGGCCGTCCAGTCTGGTTTCAAAGCCAGAGCGCTGGCTCCGAGCACCTGCAGGAGAGGAGGTCTGGCTTGCGAAGGGAGCATGGAAATAGGTCTTCTCCAGGACCACTGAGCTTCTAGAATAACACAGTGTTTACTTTCTATGTGCATGAATTAAACTTAGGGGCGTATGTGTATGTGAGAGAGAGAGACAGACAGACAGACAGACAGACAGACATGCAGACAGCTGTAGTAAAATTTCCTAATTTATTAGTAAGTCTCGGGTCAGAATCTGCCTTTGGTGGGTTTGGGGAAGGAAGCTGGGGGATAAGCATGGGCAGGAAGAGAATTTGCATGAATTTTTTAAACTTGGAAACTTTATTTGGCTTTAATGTTTCTCTGTTACAAGCAGTTCAGATTAAGCCTTTAGTTTGGAAAAACTTTTTTTTTAGTTCATAAGACATTCTAGTAATCAAGTTTTTGGTTATTGTTAACACAGGCATGTCTAAGGGCAAAAAAAATCGATGAAGGACAGAATCATGTTAGGTTGTGAGGATCAGGGCCAACTGGAGACAAGGGAATACGTGCTGTTGCGTGCCAGCTGGGACAGGAGGGAGAGCGCTTGAGAGCCTTGAACATCGGTGTAGATGCTCAGGGGCTGGCCCGTGTAGACGCTCAGGGGCTGGCTGCAGGTGCCATGGACCGGGAGGTGCGGTGCGGGGGGGGGGGCGGGGGGCGCCCTCTGAGGTCTGAGTGGAGGCCGGGCCTGCACCGGCGGCAGATCTCTACTTTAGACCCAGCACGTAGCTACGGGCCTCCACGTTGGTGTGCGGGTGAGCTGGGCCCTGGGCGGAACGTGCTGTGTTCACTTTGTTGTAATACTTGGTTCGTTTGTGTGAACTAACCTTCCTTTGCTTTCACGCTGGGAACATTGACTTAAGTAATTTACAGAGCAGGGATAGAGGTGTAAGAGGAAATGGGAAGGTCGTTTCTAAATGGAGTGGGCATAGCCAAGGGTTCCTTTAGGGCAGTGGTTCTCAACCTTCCTAATGCCGCGACCCTTTAATACAGTTCCTCATGTTGTGGTGACCCCCAACCATAACATTATTTTCGTTGCTACTTCATCACTGTCATGTTGCTACTGTTATGAATCGTCATGTAAATATCTGATATGCAGGATGTATTTTCATTGTTCCAAATTGAACATCATTAAAGCATAGTGATTAATCACAAAAACAATATGTAATTATATATGTGTTTTCCGATGATCTTAGGCGACCCCTGTGAAAGGGTCGTTCAACCCCCATAGGGGTCGCGACCCACAGGTTGAGAATCGCTGCTTTAGGGGGTGAGGAATGGTGTCCCCCTGTTTCTCTGACATTTTCCCCACGGTGCCGGAGGCCTGGGGCGAGGAGGCCTGGGGCGAGCGTGCAGCAGTTGCTCTGGACCTCCCGGCGGTCACTGCAAGCCCCTCCCACACCCCTCAGGGCCTCACGCACTCCTTCCCAGGGGGTTGCAGTTGTTCAGGACTCTATGATTTAAAGCACCTATTCCAGTTTTGTTTGACCAAGGAGACCTGTCTCCCTGTCTTGTTCTAGAAGGCCGGCAGTGGTGCGAGTGAGAGCGATA